GAAAAAAATAGTTACTGGAAAAGTCTAACTGAACAATCTTTGTGTTTATGAGATAAAAAAATTGAAATCTTTTTATTTAGCAAGTAATTCCACTCAATAAAGTTGCTATGTTCATAACAGAGAATGAAGGAAGAGGCTGCAGAGAAGCGAGACAATCAGTTGTCAGATTCTCTTATCACTAAGTTGCCCCCCAAAGTCAACTATGCATTTGCAGAATGCAAGTAATGCTGCGCTCTGTATCTCCCACTCACAACGTTCCCTACTTTGTATATTAATTCCTTCAATTCATGATACTTTTATTTTTTCCAAAAGAAAATAAAATATTGCTGTAGCTCTTGTCATCAAAGCATCTATTCCTTCCAACTCTTGGTGGAACTTTTTTCTCTGCTCCCACCTCATTTTCTTTGCCTCTCCTCTTTAAGTCTCTGGCCGTTTGATTAGAGAGATGTTGGAATCTGGGGTAATTCCCAGATACTAATTTTACAAACGCTGATTAAGACCAACGATGTTAGAATCTGACAGACAGACGGAGCTTATAATGGTTCCTGTAAAGGAGCTTGTTGTTGTTGAGTGCTGCTGACTGAGGGTCCGTTTTACAGGCAGATTTGAATGTCTCCAGAGCAAAAACTATCCGGATGGCACACACTGGCACAGAGCAGAATTTGTTGACAGTTCAGATTGGACTCTGCCAGGATAGATGCAAAATCTAAATACAATTAAATACATTAAGGCTCATTTATTGTTTACATTTAGTGTCTTGCTTTTAATTCTTCCAGAATGGACATAGAACTCCACATGCTGTTCTTCACCAGTCCTCACTTATAGGACTGGTGATCGTCTACCCAACCTATACAGGCCAGAATAAGTCTGAGATGTTTACGTACCAGAACTCACAGAGAACTGATGATGTGGGATAGTCAAAGTACGAGTGAATTTGTGTGCCGAGATGCATGGGAAAGCCATGTGTCAAATGTTCCTTTGGAAATTAGATCCAATCCAAAACCCTGAACAGCAAGCCGGAAAAAGACTACAACCAGAGGGTTGTTGTGGCCCAGTTAAAGCCACAACACAATCTGATTGGCTAAACTATGATGGCCACTGAGTCTGGTAGTAACTGAAACAGCTTCACCACACAACAATCAAAGAGATTACACAGAGAGACCTACCACATGTACTGCCTCGAGCTCCCTGATAAGCTTCTCCCGGATGTGATCTGCTGACACTGCCATAATTATCTGAAACAATACATACAGAAATACTGACTTTCGGGTCTAGATCAGCTTAAATATCTTTAATACGGTTTTATTCAAGAAAAAAAAACAAACAAAAAAAATAGAAAGTTAACATCTAAAGACTTCCGGTATTAAACTATTTACATGAGAGTCGGTGTGTGACTCTCATAGCACAGTAGAAGCATACAAATACAATAATAACTAAATGCTACCTTTGATCTGCTGATTTCATCAAGCGGACACCGGACAACCGGTTACGTTATTATGGCCCAAAAACAATTCATGCTATGACCATTTTTAGCCAGTCAGTGGCCGTCTAACATGTGACGCTTTTTTCAAAACAACAAATGATTATCGAAATAGGAGTCCATAGAGAAAAAAACAACAAAATTATTTTTAGTGGTTGTTCTGAGAATAATTATAATTACGTCTATTGACAACCACGTGAGATTATACTTTAGATATTGTTTTACAATACTGGGATTGTTTTTCTTCTGTACATAGATGGGATATGTTCAACTTATTTGATCAGGCACCGCAGTGGTCCACTAAACTAAAGGCTGACGGCGATACAGGAACTAGTAGTGACAGAACTGATACAGAAGCAAAACATTATAACATATTACCATAACATGTTATTAGCTTTAAAAGTTTCTCCTGACTTTGTGAACATTATTTCACTCGTCCATCACCGATAGCCATGTGTCATTTCAGTTAACGGTTCCCACCATCTCATACGGAAGTTATTGAGGTTTTCATGATGGTAGTGGAGGTGGAAAGCTTCTTCGGTGTGTACATGCTTTACTGCACTAACCCAAAATTTAAAGGCCGAATCTACATCGGTTTCACGGTCAACCCTGAGCGGCGGATTGGACAACACAACGCCGGGAGGCACAGAGGGGGGGCCAAAAGAACCAGTGGCAGGGGGCCATGGTAAACATGCTGTTTTTCTGCTGAACTGTGTTTGTAGTATGTAATACTTAAGAAGGACCATAACTCAAATACGCACCTGTTCCTCTGTGTTGCTTAGGGAGATGGTACTCATCATCCACAACTTCCCTTCAGATATCGCTGCTCTGAGGGTGAGTACTAAAACGCAGCATCGGGACAGTGTCCAGGATGAGTTCACGTCTGGGTCATATCGGAGTCGGTGTCCAGTAGGAGACACACACTCCGATCGCATCTTTTACAACCCAACAATCTCTGCAGGAATTTTCACTATGGCAGAGAAAACCAGCTTGCTCATCCGTCCACTATCTTATCAGTTCCAGCATATGTTCCCAAATGTCATCACAGTGACTTCGCTGTGTTCTGTAAAATTTGCTCTGTATATGTGGAAAAGCCGTTTTTTGTTTGTTTTTTTAAATGGTCCCATCCATCCATACAGGAGTATTATTGAATATGAAATGTGTATATAATTTCCCCACATATGATCAAAAACTACCATGCCCCCAAAACCTGCAAAAATCTGAGTCACTGTGTCACATTAATCAAAAATGTGGATAAGATGTCTGATTTCTGAACATTTCTGATCAGAACAGCGGTCAAATATTCAAACAGAATTATGTCAGGAAGTTGGAGGGTATGTTTTATCTGCAGTTTGTTAAAAGACAAATGTTAGGGTGACGTGTAAATATAGTTTAACTTATATGTGTAATATTGAGTGTGTGGAGAAAATGTGGAAAACTAAAATTTGTGTGATTAGCTCATGGTGTGTTTCCCTGGCAGTTTGAGTGGGCGTGGCAGCACCCTCACTCTTCCAGACGACTTTCCCACGTTTCCGGACGTTCCAAAAGAGAAACGAGCCTGCAGTTCCACTGGCGAGTCGTCTCCAACATGCTGCGGGTGGCGCCATGGAGCAGACTGCCTCTGACTGCCCGCTGGCTCAGACAGGAGTATAGGATGGACTTTGACCCCGGCCTGCAGCCCCCACTGCACATCCCCATCGCCTTCGGCAGCGTGAGGGCCAAGAAGAAGCAGTTGCTGCCATCTGCAGATGAAGATGAAGATGTGATGTCTGTGTGCTTCCTTTGCAAAGCGATGGTAAAGGTAAGAAGCGTATCCTCAATAAGCCATTGATCCACGTCTGGCTGGTTTGCTCCATCCTCTCCTCCTCCTCAGGTGTCAGAGAAGCTGAGCTGTTTCCTTCCATCCTGTGGAATGGTCAGTCATGTAGTCTGCCTGGCCAGATATTTCCTGAGGTTCGAGTCGTCCCACCTCATGCCCGTAGAGGGACAGTGTCCTTCTTGCCATGGCTCGGTGCTGTGGGGGAGCCTCATTCGCCACAAACACGGCTGCCTCGGAGACCTGGAGGAGATCGTGTCCTCCACATCACAGGTCAGATTGGTGCTTCAGTGAAACCCCTAAAGGCTGTGAGTTTACTCACTAACTTGTGTTTGATGCTCCTGCAGAGCCACTGGACAGATGAACTGCAGATGTGAAGAAAAGAAGGTTGCAGTGGTGAAGGCCTGCCATTTATACTGAAGAGTGTAGATAAATTTTATTATTTCATCATGAAGTTTTTAATTCTTTCTTAACTTTGTATTATTAACAATCATTAAATTTTCCCAAATAAAAGATTAAGAAAAACATTTTACTGCCTCATTTTAACAGGATGTGTTCTGTAAAGCTCTTCTGAAGAACATGTTTTCTATAACTAATGTGAAATGTGTGTTTTTTATATTTTTGTGTTCAGGACATGAAAAGAATAACTTAAAATTTTCTTTGTTTTGTCTGCTTCACTATTTAAATGCATCTATGTAACAACTTTTTTTTTTTTTAAGTTTTTAAATATTTCAAATTGTCACCATGTTGTGGCAGTATGAGCCAGATAACTTGTGAATAGCTTGAGCTCCTCCCAGTTCTACAGTGGCTGTCTGAAGAAACGCACCACTTCCAGTCAAAAACAGCCAGTCAGGAGAAAAATCTTAGCGCTGTCAGTTAACCTTGTTTACCCGCTGCTCAGTGTATTAATGGTAGAAACAACTTCCGTTCCAGGAAAACTGTTTACCTGCTGTCATCTGTGGCCATGCTAGCTTGTCTGTGCATTTTAATATGTTTTAGAAATATTTGTCTAGAATGATTAGCCTTTCTGCTAACAAGAAGAAGCTGTAGGGTAGCAGAGAGGAAGGAGTGTGAGCAGTGTGTACATGAAATGATTGACAGCGTTAGGACCCTCCTCCTACAGTTCAGCAACATGACTGTCAGGTTGGTTGATTTCTCTAAATTTTCCTTAGGTGTGTGTGTGGGTATGTGTATAAGTGTGTGTGGTTGTTTGTTCTGTCTGTCTCTGTGTTGCCTTGCTATGAATTGGCGACCTGTCCAGAGGGGACTCCACCTCTCACAACCCTACTGGGAATTATCATGTTGGATGGATGGATTTTCAGAGTGGACTGTTTCATGTTTTACATTTCAAGTATCAGATCAAAAGTTTATTTGTGATATCAATGTGTTTATACTACATAGTTCTCATCTTTTACTTGTTTGGTCTAATGTTCACCTATGCATATAGTTAAATTTCCACTGTATGTTCAAATTAGACCCTTAGTGTACAATTCTAACCCAAGTGGATTACAGAACGTCCACATTGAATTCAACTTTGTGTAGCCAGTTCTTACTTAAAAATCATTGAAGTTGTTTTATTATCAGTCCACTCAGACAGACAGTTCTGCAGGCTTGTGGTCACCAGCAGCAGCCATTGGGCGAGAGGTAGGGCAAACCCTGAAAAGGATGCTAGTCCATCAAACAGCTCAGGAAATCATTACAGGCCCAAAATAAACATGACATTTATTTATATTGATTCAAATCTCAGATCAGAATGGTAACCGAGGCAAGGTGAATGAAAATAAAGTTGCAAGAGTCATTGGGAACTGTGTATGCAGAGAGACTTCATTATTCTTTCAGCTGATTGTGTTTAACAGTCTTGGACACCAACGGCTTCCCATGTTCTACAGCTGATCCTGTCAGTGCGCTCAGTACTGAATTCAGACCTGTTTACAATCATCTTACAAAGAAACATTTCCTGCTCTTAGCACAAGCTGCTTTCCATCAGGCCTTTTGGTCAAGTTCATTTACCTAAGCAGATCCCAGGCTGGCTGGGATCTGCTTCCTGCAGACATAGCTGAAAAGGCACACATTCTAGAAGCAAACAAAAAATCTGATAGTTCTTAAAGATAATGATGAGTATATACGAAATAAAAGATATATCCAATTCTAACACTTTTCAAAAACATCTTCATTGTTCAAATATTATGCACTGTGTGTAGGCTTTTTTAAAAGTCTGAAAATGGATACAATTCTGAGAAGAGCAAAAAAGGTAAAGTTATATGTGGGGTAAAAACTATAAGTTTGATATTTAGAATATGTTTTAGGAGTTCATTAGTGGTTTGACTTTAAGGAAAATCAGAACTATAGTTGGCATAAAATAAGGGTTAGTTAAGTTTTAAATCTGCAGCTGCACATAGTCTGGTCATCCTTCTCTCTGCTGGTCGACTGGCGATTGGATCGTGATCACTGGCTGTGGAGGCAAAAAGAAAAAAAGAACGTCTAAGTCTTATAATAATGTTAGCTTAATTTTGTTTTTATTTCTGAAAATCAACATACAATACCTTTAAAATGTTTTATACATCTAGAATTTACATTGAATACTTAGAATATTACATTTTATATTAGACAAAGCAGTACATAATTGTAATTAAAACATTTTTTGTAAATAAATAATAATCAGTGGGAATTTGTCTTGTTCAATACAGCAGAACGTTTGCCAGTTGTTTTGCTGAACCTTAGATATTCTGTTTGATAAACCACACCAGATTTAACTCCCAACCCTCTGCCTGACGTGTGTTCAGCTAACCGGGGTAAACCAGCTGCAACAGGGCTAAAGTGTTCTAGACTTTTTCCTTCAGCCAAATAACACATTTTTGTCATAAAATATTTGTTTTAAGTTGGAATTTACAGAACAAATATCATCACAGGAGGAAAAAAGCTCTGAAATAACTGATTTCAGAGCTCTTTTATCTGACCTGACATTTTAATCGAGATTTGTTTTTTTCCTATCTTTCCTCCTGAAAAACAAAGAGTAACACTGAATAGAAGCAAAATACATTGGGAATATTATCGGCTTACTAAGTCAGTTGGTTTGTGAACTCACCATTTTGCTGGCTGCTCCACAACAGTTGACTACCTTGCAGCAGTAGGCAGCCAGAGTGGCAGAGATGGCCAGCAGACAGGCCTGGATTAGAATCCCTTCAGCAAAGAAATGGGAATGGATGCTCTGAAAGTGAATAGAATGAGCAAGCTTTGAATTACAGCTAAACTCTTGAACTCAGACATGAACTCCTTTTATATGTTACACAATATCAGTTAGCGTCAAACATTCGTTCTTCAGTTCCTGAAACTGGACTTTACTTCTCATCAGAACTTCAGGATGTGGTTCTTAGGAAGAGTATTCAGTCTTTACCTCAATTTGCTGACAGATTGCGTGGTAATTATATGTACTGTTGATGAAGTTTCTCTCAAAAGGATCAAACCAGCAGTTGGTGGACTGGTCTCCCAGCATTACTATGGTGAAGCTCATGTTCAAGAAAGAGGCAAAACATGCCAAGATTTGCATCACCAAACAGGCCGTGAGCTGTCACAAAAAAGGTTTTATATATAAATATAGATTTCTTTGAACACATTCACATGATAAACAGCAAAAAAGAATGAAGCTCTCACAGTAAAGCCATCATATAACAAGAGTCAGAGTCACCATAAGTTTCACTTCTGTTTCTTCTCAGCAGCTGCTAATGTCAGTTAGTGAGTTTTTAACAGTTCTATGATTTGCAGCAGTTTCGATCATCTATGGTTGCACAAGATTACCAGTGCCAGTACTGTCAGATAAAGGAAGATGACTGCAGAGTCTTTTTAACATCTGCTGCATTAGTTACAATAAACACATTTTCTGTGCTCAAAGTCAAACAACAGGTTGTATCTATAGCTTAGCTTCTTATTGTTCATTTGTTGATATTTTCATATGTAAATCTGAGGCCCGAACAGGAAGGGCCTCATCTAAATTTTTTCCATTTGCCTCATCTAAATTTGACAGAAAAATAAGATACAATACAAATTTTCTTAGAGTATAAATTGGAACTGAATACTGAATATTCAGTTCCAATTTGGTGGAACTGAATACCAGCTGCAACAGGGCTGACACAAGTTTTAACTGTAATTGTGTCAAACTTTTCAGAAATCCTTTTACATTTGAGATCTTCCTCTCAGCCTCAGAAGCCTCCTCTTTTTCAGTCCATTTTAGTTCAGTTACCCAGCAGAAGAGGATGAGGTCTTTGTTCCTGACAGCATTTTCAAAATGTAATCTGACTTTTTATGCTGCTTTTGCTGAATGTAATGTGTGAAACATCTACGGAACTCAAATTTAGTTTTGTGTTGCAACACAGAAGAGAAAATTCACTTCTGCTATTTGAAAAATCTTTAGTTGATTTTCTTTGTTTCAAAAGAAAAAAGATCTGAAGTGGGATGTAAATTGTATACAAAGTTTACAACATTTACCATTAAATAAAGAAATGTGGAAGCTGTGGTAGAAGGAAAGCAATCTGAAATGTCAAGTTAAAATTTAACATTAAAAAAAAGTTTTGGTGAGTTTCTAAAATCAGGAGTGGGAATTTATTTATTATTCCGCCAAAACATGGTCAACCATCAGATTCAGACCAGCAAACAGCCATAGAGTTTGATGCTTATTTAACAACAGGTATTATTTAAACATGATGACATTTCAGCTCGGCTTTAAGGAAGGAAACTGTTAAAATCTTAATAGAAAGATGAAGAAATTTTAAGGAGAAACTGTGAGGATTTTGATAAGTGTGATTGATGAAGTTATTAACATGAAAAGAAACAAGAGTAACATCAAGCTATGCTGTGTTTCATCTGTTCAGCAAGTAACTTACTGTTGGCAGATGTAGGTTCTTTGCTGCAACAGCTACACTCCCAGCTATAATTACCTGTAATGACAAATCATGATCACAGACAAATTTTAAGTTTTCCTAGTTAACCCATCGTCTTAGCATTAAGCAGAGGAACACAGTAAACTGTTGCACAGCTGGAGGATATAGAACCATTACTGTTGGGAAAAGTGTTCATTATTCTCAGTGTTGTGGGGCACTAGCATCCTCTGGTTCAGAAAATTAAAACATTCACTTGATGTTTTTGCTCAATATACAGTCAAAATAATATTTCTTGTTAAATATACTTGATTGTGGATTTTAGAATTTCAAACTGAGAGCTTATTTTTCTGGAGTTTTGGGAGAACTCCAGAAACGTGCTTATATACAAAGTATATAAGCACGTTTCTGGAGTCATATACAAAGTATATAAGCACCTAACGTAGTAGCGCTAATAATTGTTGCTGTTGCTAGTCTGTAAGAGGAGTTTTGTGGAAATAACTCTCAGGAGTTTCTGAGCGCAAGTGTTTAGGCACCCCCAAAGAATTCCACAAACATGCAGGGATGAACCAAAACACCACTCTATCTGTGTTTTGATGAGGGAATAACATTATAACATGATACAAAGGTCAGAAAAGTACATTTTATATAATGCCCCCTTTAAACTCTGACTTGCATCCATGTCCTTGCTCCGTAACAACATCCCCATGGAAACGTGCAGTGTTAGTTTAGCATGTAGTTTGGTCTCCAGAATTTTCACCCTCATATTCCCCACATCTCCTACATGGGCCATGGTTAACTATATGACCAGTATTGTAGGGCATTATATCCACTGTACAATTGCCAATAAATACTTTTATTGGCAATGCTAGTATCTGAGTGACATCATGTTCAAGATTAGTTTCCATCTGAAAGGTTAAAATCTATTATGCATTATTTTAGAATTGAACAACTTTGGATGAAAAGCACCCTCTGTCTGACTCTTACCTATAAACATGAGAGTAATAAACAGTTTTTCTCCAGCTATCATATCTGCATGTATGAGGTTTCTTCAATGAAAATGTGGCTGCAGGTGCATCAGTAAGGAAAGGTAGAGGTTTCAGGTGAACCTCCAGTATGATTCTACTGGGCACTTACCAGCAGGGAAAAGACGAGTAAAGGAATATCTGGTTGAAAAGAACTCAGACCTTTAGCCCTAAACAAACTGAGACTGATGATCATATACACACTGAAGCAGATTTGAGTTATCTGTGAAACAAGGAAAAAAGCAGTTCAATTATGGCTGCAAAATAATTGAAAGGCAAAGATTTAAACATACATAGATCCTCATGCAGCATACCCCGAGAACTTTAGGCTCAGCTTCCAAATATTTCTCCTTCCTGTTGGCATTCCTCTGAAATGTGACTGCAACCAGCGGGCTCTGAACTGGGCTGGCCCCTTGCTCCACAGCGACTGCCTCATCTGCAAACCACACTGCCACGTTCAGTCAACAGCCTGAGTTGCAGTGTTTGACACTTGGTTTAACACTAACATGCAACAAATACTGATCAAACCAGTTACAAGACCAAACCAGTTACAAGATGTTATAACATGCAGTTGTGATGTCACTGGAAAATAAGTGTAATTTTTTTTTCATCCAGGTTGAAAAATGTTTCATTGAGATTAAAAAATATTTCATCTCAATGAACACATACAGTAATCTACACTGCCAAAAGTTTGTGCTTGTCCACCTTTGCAACTTGAGTTGCATTCTGATTTTACTCCATACATTTTCATGTGATGTTAGTGTATTAATTTCTTCTGTAACAACTTCAGCTCTTCTGGAAAGGCTTAGTTTGTAAAAAAACAAACAAACAAAAAAAAAAACATTCTACTTGAAGCGTATTTAAAAAAAAATATTGGCCTTAGTGGATTTATTTTAAAAGTGGTCAAACAGAAAAGTGGGTAATGAGACCGAAGACATGCAGCACAGGTCACCAGTTTTGGACTCAAACCTGTGACCGTCGCATTGAGAATTAAGGCATCCGCACGTGGGCTGTGCTTCACCTCTGAAGTGTATTTCTAAAGGCCCACTCTGATGTTGCATAAGAAAGCCCTGTCTCCTGCACAAGCCAGCCAGGTTCTCAAGTATCAAACTCACTCACTCATATCCTGGCCTTGCTTTGTGTGCCAGTATAAGGAAGGGGCCATTTCCAACTGGGCCCAAAAATTTGGGAGTATAATGTTTTTTTAAAACTGAGTTGGTATGCAGAAATATTTAGAACTCTTCTTAAGGCCTAGGAGGATCATCCTTGTCCTCATCAAACTTTATCCTTCACACAATTTCAGTCAGGCAAGAGGGGATTTCATGATAACTGCCAAACTCTGGCATGATGCATCATTCCAAAGAACATGGATTGTGGTGATTATATACGTTACATCAACATTTAATTTCCATTTAGAATCACTAAAATATTTTTGAATTTGAATTGAAGAATTGAATTTCAGACTTTGCATTACCTTGGGATGCAAGGCTGAAATGCAACAACCTGGCCAAGAAAACCTGCTCCATGCTCTACTTTTCTCCAATCATATGAAGTATGGAAGACTGAAGCTACTGACTACAAAAGCTGGTGACCTCTACACAATAATCTGTGACTTTACATGGCTGGGCTGCTGTTGTTCCCAACTGCTCCACTTCCACAAAAAAAACAAACAAAACAGTTCACTGAAGATTATTTCGCGGTTAAATTTAATTCACAATTGGCATCCTATTACAGCAGCTGCAGTTCACTGAGCTCCTGAGAGCTGAAGGAGGAGGGCCATTTTATCCAACTGTGGCCATGGAACCGATCATCAGTAGAGATATAGTGTAAACCTGACAATCTGCTACAAAACAAACTCAGATGATACAGACACAGGCTCGCAAAACTATTCATACCCTTATTCCATATTTTGTCACATTACAACCACAAACAAAGTTATTTATTGGGGGGGAATTTCATGTGAAAGAACAAAACAAAGAAACAGAAAGAAAATGATACTTTTTTCTCACTGGTAAACCAACGGAAAAAAAACTCCAAAAAAACAAAAACAAAACCCAATTTGACATAATGTACTTTTCTGGTCAGTCACCTAATATTTCAACATAATATATAATCTTATCGACTTAATAATTGTATAATATTAACAGTAATGTGTCTTATGAGTCCATTATCACATCACAATGATCCAACATGAACAGGAAACAGTTCATCACAACAGCGACAGAGCACAAACTGGAAAACAGCAGAAACTAAGCGCCTCAGTTTCTCCTGTTTAAACTAAAAGTAAAAAAAAAAAAAAACGTTTCCCATACTGTTATCTGTAACTACGCAAGCGTAAATTCTCCCTTTTACCTGCCATGATCACGGAATTGGAATTCGACCACTTGTCTCCTGTTTAGATGGAAAAGCTGCTGGTGTTTTTCTACGTTGATTTTCGCTTCCAGCCGAAGGTTTTGCAATCCTCCTGCTGCAGCAGTCTGTGAGACCCGGAGGCCACGCCCCTCCGCCCCACGGCGGGGGGAGAGAGGAGAGGAGATGAGATGGGAACCGGGACTTCTGCTTTCTGAGGGTTAGACTCCACAGCTTGTTCCGAACTGACATCTGGCCACTTCCGGTCACATTGCTTACACACCTCATTTTACACAGAAGCTATTATAAAATGCTCCAGATACCAACAGTGGCTATGAAAAGTATTCACCCCCCAGAAAGTACAACCCTTTTATTGCTTTTACAGATCAATTATAATTAACAAAAGTTGGCTTTTTTCACCAATAAAAGACACACACACACGCACACGCACCTACACACGCACATGCAAGCACGCAGGCACACACATTATTGTCAAATTAAGAAAGTTTTTTTAACATAAAATAATGACAATTAAATAAAAATATGTAACATACATTTTTACATATGTCCATCCATTGTCCCTATGGGGTCGGGAGGTGCTGGTTCCTCCAGCTACATTCCGGGCGAGAGGCGGGGTCACGCTGGACAGGCTCGCCAGCCTGTTGCAGGGCAACACAGAAACAAATAGGACAAACAACCATGCACACACACACTCACATCTTGGGAGAATTTAGAGAAACCAATCAACCTGACAGTCATTGTTTTTGGACTGTGGGAGGAATGCACAGGGAGAACATACAAACTCCGCGCAGGAATCAAACCCAGGGGCAACAGTGCTACCAACTGCGTCACTATGCAGCCCCTTTTTACATATGAATTGAAGTCAATTATTTAACAGATGCGCCTTTGACTCCTGTCCCAGCAGTGAGGCATCTGGACGCTGCACTTTTCCTCCTTTCTTCCTGTTAAAATCTTGCAGCTCTGTCAGGTAACCCAGCTGTTAACAAGTCCAATCACAATTTCTCTATCAGATTTAGATTCTGACCTTTGACCTCTCTCAAGCCTCATTCTACCTGGTTAGGTTATCCTGACCACTTTTTCTCCCTGTGCTACTTCTTTCTTCTCCTACTCTTTTTCAGTTCGTATTATTTCCTCTTAATTCAACTGTTTATGTTTTCTCTAAGATTTTTTCTCTCCATAGAAGCTTCATCTGATCTGGCATTGTTCAGCTGTGGTTCCATCCTAAAGAAGGACATCGGCTGAGATAAAGAAGTCAACAATGGTTCAACCAGGTGGATAAAGCAGAGAGCAAAACGTATTCTAGTAACGTACTTACTTCAATACTGCCAATAAAAAGTCGCAGAAGATGAGACGTTTTGATTATAATGTATAATAATTAGAATGTCTGATTTATGTTTCTAAAAATTATATATTAAAATGTCAAATGTAAAATTATGTGCTGATTCTGGTATTTTAAAAGACAAAATTAAAACAGGCAGAAAAACAAATAATAGATATTTTTCACAAACCAAAATCTTCTGTCACTTTTCTATTTATATTTGAACAAAACATGTTTCTTCTTCTTCACTTAGTGAAGGAAGCAGAGGCAGAATAGCCAAGACGTTGTGTTACTTTAAAATAATGTTGCTGTCGGTAAAAGAGAAAAAAATGAAGCAGCAAAGCTATTTCTCCTAAATCTACTCCTGTAACTTTTGTAGAATATAGGTAATCCTGTCAAATTTACTGTCTCCAGAATTGGAATATAATAGTGGACGAATGAAAAAATTGTAATCTAGAAAAACAGGCCTTCTCAACAGTATGTGTATGATCCATATGCATTCAGTTCTGGCTGAGGGTTCTGCTGTAATCTGTGGTTCTGTTGACGTGTAAAGGAAGTCCAGCTTGATTTTATGGCGTCCTTCATCTTATTAGCATTGTTGGCCCTGCTGTCCCTGATCTTCTTATTGGTAACAGCCTGTAGATCTCCATAAGACAGCTGCATCTGTTCCTCCCTGTTCCCTAGACAACGTCTGCTAACACACACTTTCCTAAAATGTTAGCAAAGAAGGTATTTCAGTTCAGTTCAATATATCGAAACAAATATCATCTCAAGACACAAGACACAAATAGATCACGAATGGGAGACTTCTGTTTTAATGGATGGAGTTTGCTTTGAAAATTTTATCCTGTAGTTGCTTTTTACTTTTAATAAATCTTTTTATAGTCACAAATCCTTGCATCTGAGAGTTTTAGTTTGATAAGTGTCCTTCAGTTTATAACATGTTTTCTGGTTCATGACAGAGTCATTATTAAAGAGCATGCTCTGAGATTTCAACTCTCCTTCTAATTTTATAGGGCCAAAATCCTTAGAATAGCTTGTTTGGAATTAATTACCTTCTTATGATTGTAGAATATTTGGGGCTGGTCAACTGCAAGGCCTTTCAGCATAGCTGAATAACCAAAGCACACAGGGTTAAATTTGACAGCAAGGGAGGGCTTTGGGTCTAACAAGGCCATGGTAGCTGACTTGGCAATTTTGTACATTTGGTTATTTTTCCTTGAAAACTGATTAAACATCATTCTTTACATTTTTTATGATTTATATAAACATGTATGTATCTTTAAAGAGAGTTAAAATATTAACAAAAACCAAACAGTTTGGCTTGAAGAAGACTTCATTCGACATCTGCTACATCAGGAACTGAAAGTATTTTTTACGTCAGTCAGAGACACTTCTCCTTTCCAACCTCACCTTACTTTGAAAGGACAGCTTAGTCAGCAATGCTCTGCAGAACCAGCAGTCAATAATGTTTTGATTATTTTAACGTAAAAAATAACTCAGGAATACAATTATGGTCTGATCCTTAGATGCTAGAATTCTAGTTTTCATTTATGTTTCTGTTTTTTTATCATTTCTGGTTAATTTGCTTAGATTTGCCCTTTTAGTTTATCTCATATTTATCTCATTTATTCTCATTTTCCCTTGTATTCACGTCTTTTTCTGTTTATGGTTTATATTGGTTTCAGGCCTTTCTCCCTTCAGTTTTTGTTGCTTTATCTTTGTCCTTTTCCTCAACCTGACACTTGCTCCCCTCCTCAGCAGTGTCCTATCTCCTGATTCCCCCTGTTAGTTTTCAGACTCCTGCCTTCCCTTCTCATCGACTTTGGTTTCATTGTCACTTCCACTTCTCCCTCAATATTTAAGCTCCTCAGTTTGTCCCATTCCTCCCAGGGTCCATCAATCTTCACTTATTCTCCAAGCCAACCCATTATCCCATAAGTGTCTTGCCTTATTTCTTTAAACCATGCAAAAGAACAATCGCAAAATCTAATCAAGCAGAGTTTGATCCTATAAACTGACCAAACATTGATCCATTATTACACGCATCATTTTACATCTGAATGTCTCATAATAAACACAAACACTCTTTAGAAATATTTGTTTTTATTAGCAAAGGAAGCCAGCAACCGATATGCAGTTCATATGCAACAAACACACGATCAATCCAAACATGTCACTGTTTTGCTGACATTATACTACAAATCAAGTGGGGATCTGTACACATAACTGCATGACATTGCATTAACTTCAGGGCATTAACAGTGCAATATCAAGATGTTTACAAGAAGAACGTACATTTTCCCAAATCACAGCATGCAAGATTTCTATTTTATGTAACAATTCAAATATTCTCAGTGAAGTTGAATCAGCATGGCTTAGTTTAATAACAGATTTTAGAAGAGCCTCCAAGGGACTTTCTGCGTTCAACACATGACACTTTCTTGAATCCCACAAGAAAAATTCAGAAAGCATTTGATAATTCTAAATTTGATTAATTCTAAATGCTTTTTTAAAAAATTGTTTGATTGTTCCCTTTTTAAATGAATGAAAATTGGAATGGTCCCTTGGAAGAAATTCCCTTCAGAGCTTGTTGGTAAATTAGAATTGCACTTAGAATCTTCTTTATTTGATCCAACAACAGTAGAAAGGCAATGATACATCAGCTGACAGAGATAATATTCCTTATATTCTAACTTACGTCAGAATATTAGGAATTCATTTTCTGTTGTGATTAATAATTTGGAGCAAAACACGATGTGTCTATATGAAAAACTTTCATCAGAGCAAAATGTCACTGTTTCTAAAGCCAAAAACAAATTGAACTAAAAACTAGACCAAATATGCATTAAATGGCATTCTGGGGTAAACACACAACCAAATAAAAATCACATACAAATTAAACACTTATTCTAGATACAAAAAATGGATGTGAAGTTTATAAAATGACATGTCTGACTGTATGAAAGCGTTTGATTGGATTCAGACTGGCTCAGGCTTCAACAGTCCAACACTTCCTGCCCTGCTTTGACCCAGAAGTGGAGGGGGCAGCAGCCCCAGAGGTGAGCAGGAAAGCATTTCTTAGATAATCAAGGCAAATTCCCAGCACATTCATTTGTGACTGACAAAGAAAATATGTTGAAAACTGTTAGAAGATTGTGCAGCAAGCACTGGAACCAGAACCAGAAGTTAGAAAGCTTGGAATCACAGCTTTCATGTGAACATCTTAATTTCTTACTACTTGTAAAATCGTGAGTGTAGTCTCATTCACTAACTTCAAGCCATCCTAAAAAATATTTTATTTCCAATTACAAGTTACAATTTTAAAACAAAGATAAGGTTATACATCAGGTAATGCTCTTTAAGATTAGACACAACATTTAAATGAAAGGACAGTACAATGTGCAGTCCATGGAAGACAAGTAAATAGCAATCAGTGCAATCAACGTCAAAATAATCCCTTTCAATTTTCCCCTTTATGTCAGTGATTATTTCACAAGTGGAAATCAACTCACTTATGTTCTGAATGCCCAATGATTACAAACAGGAAGTTACCTTTAAAAAAATCTACAGATTTAAGGAGACAGTTAATCAGGAATATGCTCATTAAATCTGGTTGCAAATTTTGGCTTAAAGTCTAATAAGTTCCACTGAACATTAAAGGTATAATGCAAAGGACAGTGAAAAAAGAGTGTTAATGTTACATTTAATGAATCCCTTATTGATCTGTTTTTCGGCAAAACAAGAATGATCATTGGAGTTTTTAACTTTGACTTTTCAATCAGTTTTCATGACAGTGTCAGTTTAAAGAGAATTTAGTGTTGTACATTTTCAATTTGATGAAATTTGGGCTCAAACTTCCGTAACTTTATGAGGTTGTATGTAAAAACTTACTAAAGTTATCTGTATGGATTCATTGAAGAGTGTACAATTAACTGCATGAGTTATTTTTGACCTGTGTGTTTAAGGTTGTATTGTATATCTCTGGTTCAAATGTTATCAATAGTAACACATCAGAAAAGCAGCAACAAATAGGCTTAGTAAAATGTGATGGGAGGTGGCTCAGCGGAATTGCCCCTTTACCCACAATCCCTTATTCAGAAGGTCACTTGTTTTAGACCTACGGCCGCTCCATCCTCAGAGTGACTGGTAGCCAGCTGTCCTCTTTCTGCGGCCCAGCAGGTAGACAATCAGCACAATGACAATGAGCACCAGCAGAGTCACTCCCACTGCAATGGCAACGCGGTAGTCAGGCTGGTCCGCTGGGCAGGGGTCAGCTGGGCGACACACAAAAAGCACAAAAACTCAGTGATTTTATATAAGTGCATTAACATTAACATCAAAAACCCAATGTAATCTGATTGTCCCATTTAAACAATGGTTCAATGTGTGGGTGAATATTAACATGTAAGATCCTTCTAAACTTAACATGCAGTCAGAAGATTTTTTTGGCAACCCAGTTGCTAATAAAAACAAGCTCTGTGGAGAGGCTAAGAGCAGTTACCATCAACACTCAGCCAACCTGTTCACCTCCTCACCTGTGGTGGCATTAAGCCAAGAGCCACTGAAGGAAGTGACATGAAAACCTCTGAAGAAGATCCTGAACACAACTTCATTCTTCACACCAAAAATGGAGTGGTGTCAGATTTTTGAGTTTGTAGAATTTCTCTTTTCTCTTTAACAAAAGACCACAAGCTACTTCTCAAGCTAGTACAAGGCTTACATGGCTGTTTGGTTGTTTTTACCCAGAATCCTCTTTGGTATAGTTTGCTTCCTGTTTGGGGCGGTTTCTGGTCCACTTGGCATCCAACTATTAATTTGATATTTCTATGTGGACCAGAGTTTACATTTCTGAGTCTGATCACGCATTTCCACCGACCCAAATAAACTGGACTTTCTAGGCAAACAATCTGTATTCTAATTAAACTGAACTAAACAGCTCCGGTGCAACTAATGCTTTATGTTGCATCTGAGTTTAGATGCAACATAAAGCATCTAAACTCAAAATGTTGATTCATACTAATCATGTTTTCTACTGCTCTGACAGTTCCAGTAGATGTACACTGACATAAAGGTGTGTGGATATTGGACAATTGTTTACAACAATGGCCTGTAAAAAACAAAAAAGACCAGAGTAACCATGAGAGGAAACGTATTGGAGAGAAATATCCCTATAATATTGTTCATATAATCTGCTGTGGCTTTTGAGGGCTGAAGCTGTTTTGGCAGAAAGCAGTTTTGATCTTGATCTGCTGCCATGTGACTTCATCCAAAATAAAGAAAATCACAAAGTTTCTTTCCACAGGTAAGACACTGACTGCTCCAAATGTTCAATAAAATCCCTTTTAAAAAGAGAAGAATCTATTTAAAACTTGTGCTCTTTCAGTCCCTGCTGGCACACATTGAGTTAAGTTCAACTCATGCAAACGACAAGTAGAAGGCTTAAAGACTGACTTGTTAAACTTGCTTTTCCTGAACTGCAGCATTTTGACCAAAGTGTTGTATATCATGAGACCGTCAGAGAAGAAGCAAAGCCCACTTGGTACTGGCCTGGCTTCACTTTTACATACTTTGAAATATTATTTAACACAATGAAGGGTTTCCAGACATCAGAGGTTAAACTGTTTACAATTAGCATTATTTATTCTAATAGAAGGAAGTGAATCACATAAATCTCATTGCTTGGATTTTTGTTGACACTTACGACGGCCAAACTCATTCTTAGTGACATTGAAGGCTTGCAGTCTGTCGCTAGAGACTTCTAGGCTCAATCCGTTTCCCATGAAGACAGATTCATCCTTGCAGGAGTAGGAGTGTCCGATCTTTGCAGCAAATAGATGCACTGAGTCGTTCTTGGCACTATATTTCTGAGTTCCTGAAACATCATGACAAGGAAATTCTCAGGCGCTGATCAGAGATAACATAACATTTTAAAGCAAACTTGTTGGACTACAATGGACTGAAAAAAGGTCGAGAGTCACTGGCATCACATGCTTCTTAGACAAATAACAGAAAGTCTAAATTAAGCCACAAAGACAAACACAAACCAGAAAGAAAGCTGAATATTGTTTTTAAATCCTGTTGAGAACACAGTGAACAAATACAAAAAGCCCAAAGTCTAATCAGCATGACAGAGTGTCTTCAACTCACCTGACTTTGTCAAGGGGTAGGACAGACTGAAAGACACAGCATTAAGATAGGCGATGTTTTTAGCAACACTCTGGGGAAACAAAAGAGAATTACACAGCTCATTATTCATTTGGACTGATAGCAAAAGATTTCACCGAAATTTTGTTTGTATGTTCAGGAACGCCACAAATCCGAATGTTACCCATGTGCATCATTGTTTACTGACTCTGGGCCTGGCAGTAAAGCTTACATCAGAAAATAGAGCAAAGAACTGATTCTGGATGTTGCTGGATCTGAATCCCATCATATCTCAACAACTGTCTAAACTTTAGGTTTGACAGTTGTTGAGATATGGTGGGATTCAGATCTTTAGGTTTGACAGTTCAGACAAAATAAAAAGAATTCCCAACAACTTGATCAACCAAACAGAATACTTTGTTTTTAAAAAAGTTCTCAGTGATAGCAGCAGACAGAAGGATGGTGCTTCTTCCAGGTCCTGAACCAGGAACTTTTTCTTGTTTTTTTTTGTATTCACAAAATCCAGAGGCTAACTGAAGATGCTATTTAAAGACAAACAAACATTTTTGAAATTAAAATAAAATCTGATCTACTGTCCAGGATTGCAACTTTACATAATTTTTCAAAAATGTATGCAGAATTTTATATTTGCTCTCTCTCTCATACAGAGATAAAAAGTAAAAATATTAGAAGCTGGGATTTTAAGCTCTTGTGTTTTACCCAGCGCCCCAGGATAAAGATAGGTTCTGGTGAAGTTGCTCAGGTTCTGGAACTGACTAGAACTCAATCTTCCCTTTCCACAGCTCTGCAGAGTGACATGCCCGTTGTCCGGGTAACTGTGGTTCACGTTTTACCCACAGAGCGAGGTTTGTCATCACACCATTCTGTCTGTGTGTTTAGACTGGGGGTCAGAGAGCATTACAACAAGAGCAGCCATTTTTGCTTTGGGTACAGCAAAGCAAAATATGACTAGACCTACAAAGGCAACACAACCCTTCAAAACTAACAGCTTATTTTTAACATTTTAACTACATGACATTTGCTTAGATATTTAAATAAAATAATGATGGTTATATTTTTATTATAAGGTTTTAAAATCAAGAAAATCACAAAGATTTTACATAAATAAATAAATCTTTTTTTCTTTTTTTTTTACTGATTGTTCACATTTAATAGAAAATTTCATGAAAAGTAATTAAGACACACATTGTGGGTGTAGTGCTGCGGGTTGCACACCCCCAATTTAGGCCAATATTCTGTTTTGCTCGCATTGGCTGCAACAGCTTGGTTTTGTTTCTGTTGCAAGCTCCTGTATAAAAACCAGACAGTATTCATGGGTTGAAAGTCAATAATTGAGATTAATAAAATTAATATCCATTACCAAATAAATATAAACAGTCTTGAGATCATTTTAGCGACTGAAGCCAAACTTTTACTGGCATTGCTTAGTAGGAGGCTGAAATGAGCAGTATAGCTGTACTAAATGGCTATTTCGCTGCCTTAAATGATTCTTACTGAAATATTGATTTGCTCTAGTTCATTATATCTTTAGTCAAAGCTTGATTAAATCTTGATCAAAGGCAGAATCTTCCAAAACCATGTTCATTCTGTCAAACCCTTATTCTAGTCTGTTCATATGAAACCTTTATATGTATAAATTTGCTTCATGCTTTAGGGATTATTAGACAACAATTTGAACAGGAAATGTTCACATTGGTAGAAAAGGATGACCAATAGTCTCCAGGAGCTATCTAAAAACAATTCTCCATTTTCCTAAAAAAGAAAGGAAAAACTTTATCTAATCTGTGTTGACAGATCAGGTAGCCACAGCTGTGGCAACTATCCTAGCTTGCCACTATCAGTGTGTGTGAATGTATTGAATGTATTGGGAAGCAGTCAGGGGGTTCTCTGGACTTGACAAAGCGCTAAACAAGTACAACCCATTTACCATTACACATCTCTCTCATATTAATCCTCAGTTTTCCCTAACAGTATTCTCACCAAACAATCTTTTATCTGTAGAACCATGAGTTTCAAGAACACTATATCAGGTCAACTAAAGTCATAAAATGAACCTGTAGCCCTTTTGATGTTAGCTTATGATAAAGTCAACTGCTCCACAGATAGTTCCTGTTTGTAGAAGTCAAGTTGACTTCCTCATAAACTGACCTGTTACCTCTGAAATTTTTTCTTTCATGAGTTTGCGATTTCATTTGCTTGACTAAATTTTATTTTACTGAATTGATATTTATTTGACTCCAGTTTGTTTCAACCAAACTCCAGCACTAAAGCAGTCAGAAACTTGTTTTTCTTCTCAAGCACAGTGGGTTCGCCCAGTAGTATTATCCCTATTGTTGCTTTTTGCTTGTTTGGAACCCAACCAAGCTTCTCACAACAGAAAATGGAGGAAAAATGAAAGCCTTACATTTAGATCATAATCCTTTATCTGGGAAACACAAATAGCACGAACAATTTAGCCTTTTTTCATTGGATGGAACAAAATCAGTGTAACCTTTTTAAAGCAATTAATTTCCCAATGACACATGAGCAAATGCCTATCAACCTTTATTCAGACTGGATCATTTAAACCACTGAGTGAATCCCAGAGATTCTGTTGTCTCTAAATTGAGTTTCTATGAAACAATCTGTTAAAAAGTTGGTTTGTCATCATCAGTTATTTAAATAGATAAACTTTTGTAGTCAAGCTACAATATACACCTGCATAGTGGGGAAGGTCGGTTCTCTCAGAAACAGACTGGTTTCAGAACCAAATCCAACCTTTTTATCACATGATAAAAAAAATTTAAATATGAAAAGTACACTCATTACTCCTACAGTCCTACAGTTCACAAACATTTCCATTTTACCCTAACAGTCCTAATATGATCCTAAAGCTGGAAGTGGAGCCTAAAGATCAAAAGAAAAGGGATGTCTTAACAGAGTCTAATGACTTAATGAGACATAGAAAGGAAAGTGTGAACATTAAGTACCTTATTGAAGAGGAAGGTGATGAAGCCCTCTTGAAAGGAAAGGGTCAGGTTGGCTTTGGTTTCCTTGCATTCACCAGATGTATTAGTTTTCTTTGGTTGGATAATGAAGGTTCCATTGACCTGAGAAAGATGAAAATGGTACAAAATTTCCTTTTTTGATTTTGAAGACTGAAATTAATTAAGAAGACTTTAAGCAATCTTTGTTAGTAATGATTGATGAAACAAACCTTCTGTGTTGAAAGTTTGATCTTTAGTGCCATCTGAGCCTTTAGGCAAACCACTCCTTTGTCTGTCTTCAAACTGTAGTTTCCTACAGTCAGATTGGTAGCTGGAGTAGGTTGAGGTGGTGCTGTCGGGGTGGTTTTAGGAGTTGTGGTGTTATGGGTCGTGGGTTTTGGAGTTGTGGTTTTATGGGTTGTAGGTTTTGGAGTCGTGGTGTTATGGGTTGTGGGTTTTGGAGTCGTGGTTTTATGGGTTGTGGGTTTTGGAGTCGTGGTGTTATGGGTTGTGGGTTTTGGAGTTGTGGTTTTATGGGTTGTGGGTTTTGGAGTCGTGGTGTTATGGGTTGTGGGTTTTGGAGTCGTGGTGTTATGGGTTGTGGGTTTTGGAGTCGTGGTCTTATTGGTTGTATCAAATGCCTCTGCAGAACTCATGGTGGAAGGTAGTTTGGATCCATTTGTGTCATTGGCCAATGACAGTGCTTTAAGAAAAAAGACATAAGAAAATTTATCTCACATTAAAGCTTAACTTGCTGAAGCATAAATTCTGAAGTGACAAACATTTAGCTAATGTAGAAATTATTTTGACCATAAATTGCCTATGCACACCTTAGGATGGCCTAGGGTGCCATCATAGGGTGCCATGATGATGATGCCATCTTTGGAGTTGTTGTGGGTTTTGGAGTCGTGGGGTTATAGGTTGTGGTTTAAGTTGTGGTTTGAGCCCATAAATATCTGTTATATTCAGTTAAATAACTTTATCATACAGGTTTTCTTTTCCATTTTCACAAAGTATCTGCCTGATGTCTGATGTTGATAGCCGACAGTGAAGGGACACATCATTTATTTTAGACTGTAGGATTAAAAAGTTTTAATCTAACAAGATGAAAAGAATAAACAATGTGCTTTGGTTTTGTTTATATCAGCAACAGAATTTCCTGTATTTATTCAAGATAATGAATGTATTAACTATGTGACAAGTAGATTTATGACAATGTTTTTTAAAGCATATGATCGGTCTATCTATGGTAGCTGAAGTGCTCAAGTTCATGTTGCCACTTTCCTGTGAGGCAGACACAAACTCTAAGCATAGCAGAAAAGTAAATAGAAACTAGCTCTGAATAACACACCAAGATGAAAAATGTTAATTTCTTTCTAGAAGATCACTTCACTTATGTTTCATGAGCCTGAACTATGTGGATTATTTTACATTTAACATGGAATTGCCACGCTGTTCTTTATTTCATTCCTACAACTTCAGCAAAATGAAAACATTTATGCAGAAACAAACATCATTCATCACCCAGCAGTCATGTGACTCAGAGCTGTGACTCTAACCGAAAGACTGCAGAGCTCAGAGTTTTAAACAATCCAGGAAGTCACAGTGTGGTCTGCTATCATCCCAGACAAAAGTTCTAATAGCAAACACATCAAACTCTGCCATACAGCGGTGCTCTATAGAATCACACAGTATGTCACATATTCAATACAGTAGCAGAATATTCTGGTTTCACTTTTATACCACTCCACCAACTTTCTACTAACTCTTCAAATTTGTTTTTGATAGTTTTACTCTTTTCTGGCCCCAGAAGTTTCTCCTTACCTGTGAGAGCACAGCAGGCAACAAGGATCAACACAGAAACTTTCTGCATGGTGACAGGTCTTGACTGACAGCCTTGTTCACTGTTCTTCACACCAGCCTGATATGCAAGAAGTGTGACGCACGTCTTTCCATAAATAAATGCCTGAGTCAAGGCAGTGCAACAGCACAGGAAGCACAAACAGCATGCTCCAAAATAAAAGCAACACCTGTTAATGTGAGCTGTTTAATAGCTTTGTTGCCTATTGGAATAAAACTTCTCAAAATTAAGGTTGGAAGTGCAAAGCAGGTGGAGTTAAAATATTCACTGGTCACCTTTTAGTAGATTTTTGTTAGTTTCAAGTTACGTCAGTGACTTTTGTGTGTTTTTCAGTCACACACTCACATTCTCTTCCAAATACTGGTCTCAACTTTACTTCCTAAGTGTTTTGCTGTAGTTATAGTTTGCTCTTTGTCACTGTACCTTCATTACGCTGCAAATGATGGAAACTCAAATCAAATTCCTTGTTTGTATTCGCAATGCAGCTGATTCTCAGTCTGATTTTCAAAGGGGTACCAACAATTTTGTCCACATGTGTAAAAACTGACAAATTTTATACTTATTTTAAAACAATACACTTACCTTAAATCTGTAAAGCTCGTTATAGTCAAATTTAATTGATGAACGCATACAAAGCATTCTGAGCCACTCCACCAATTATCCCATCTTTCAACAATGCAGCAACTGAACAGTGGATTAGAATACCTAACTTAGCCATACTAAACAGAGCCTATCAGTATTTCAAATGTAGAATGGTGTCTTTAGCTCCTGTCAGTTAGAAAGAGATCAATTCCATTTTAGTTACAATGCAGTCCAGTGAGTGTAAGTAAACTATGAAAGGTCTTTTGGTAAAGAGCAGTCTGAGTCTTAACTTTGTTCCCCCTCCCTCATTCTGAGCAGGTTTGGGGCAACAAAACATGACATGAAGTTCCTGACTGTAAATAATAGAGATTGAGGAAAGAGAGCATGGCAGAGACTGCTGGTGAAACCATGAGCCTGACACTCTCCAAGTTTCTTCTTTCAATCCATTTGATGGCAAATAAAATAGACTAGATCCTCTTGATTAGGTTCGGCTATTTTACTTCAGACTAGAAAAGATACAGATGTAAATTATCCCCCAAAAAACAATAAAGAGGAAGAGAATCATATGAATCAGCTAAAAACTGCATAGCTCCACTTCAACTGCCCAACTCACTCCATTATCACCAAACGTCAATGTCCAGCTAATAAACAATGAAATATGCAAATTTACTAGAAGGTGCTAGAATGATTTCTAATATTGCAAATTTTTATGCATGAGTTTTTTAAAACTTGTAAAATATCATCTTGCACACATTTTAACCAGGTAAAATGCTCTTCAAGATTAAATCTCTATAAGAAATACAAACTTAAATTATTCTTCAGGTTTTAAGAAACTGAAGTTAGGGTCCTGTGCCCTCATTAAAATTTAAAGTGTTATACCAAACTACAGAACTTTCCTTTTGTTTCTCTCATTGTAGACACTCAGCAATGAGCTGAGTTTACAGCTGTTGTTTTGCAGACGAATAAAAAAACGCAAAAATATCATTAAAATCCATGAAGTTCTGGGTTATTTTAGAATGTAAGACATTTTTTATTACCTCTATCAAGTTTCTCTTATAAAGATATCTAAAAAAAGAGTAAAAATTTGCATATTACTGTGATGTAATATTGTAATTTTAAATGTTATGTTTTTATTAGCTCTAAGGGGTAATTTATGTTTCACCAAGGACTAAAGTCATTAAATAAATGTTGGAAGTGCAAAGCAGGTGTCAATAATATTTTCATTTATCGAACGGGTCTGTACATATTACATCAAGGTGTTATATGGCAGAAGTGTATTATATTGAGGGGCTTTTATCTTGACAGTGCAGAAAAGGAAGTACCTTACCTCATTCTGAAGTTTGAGAAACATCCAAAGCTCTTCAACCGACAGCTATATTGAAGAATCGAAACCAGAGTGAGAGCAGAAAAAGCAGGAGGAGAAGCTTATAATGAAATGAAAGTGGACTGAATAATCCAGAAGGTTCCTCTGGTCTCCTCACATGGTTTCCCTGTTGTGCTAATCAAAAATATCAAGCAGCAACACACACTTTCACCTTGAGGAAGGGTGTGTTAGTGTTAAAACTCTGCTCCTTTATGGTCGAAGTCTTAAGTTAAGAGTCAGCCACGCTAATGATGAATTTTTGTTGCGTCAGAACTAGAGTGTGATCAATTTTGAAGAATGAGAGGTTAAAAGTCAAATCTTGAGGTCAGAAGTCAGTTTATGCTGCTAAGTATTATTTATGGACGCTGTTTTTCAAATTATTACCTTATGGGTGGTTGAAGGCAGTTATTATAGCTAATTAACAGTCAAGAATATCTTGTGTTCAGAAGGATAAATGAACACTATCATGAGACCAAAGGAAAAAAAATGACCATCCAGGAAACTTGCTATGGTATATTCTCAGGCATCAAATACAAATTAATCCTGTACATTAGAAAATAAATAGAATACTTCAGATCCAAATCATGGGCATAAATAATTTTGTGCTTATGTGTAAGACTGTGAGACATAATCCAAGCTATGACTATCACTATCCATTTATTAACCTAAATCACAAAATATTTGTTATGGTGGAATATTTATTGAAGTAATGCAGCTCATCCGTAACTCAAGTAGTAAAGTTTGACTCGTACAATGCTGATGATGGCTGTGGTTGCTTACAGGGAGGATTCTGCATGAGATTGTGGTACCAATCCTGCAGGTTGTCAGTGTGGCAGCAAGTTATTTAAAGAAATGTAGCTAGTACTGGGCAGCAGCTGCAGTTCTCTCAGCAGTGTCTCTGTAACAGTTGAACCGTTTAACAAATGTAGTTCCAGTAACAGTAGCAGTAGTGTTAGTATTATCTGTATCAACCCTAAAAGGCTACATGTCGCATTTTCTGTAATTAGGGTTTTACTCAGCTGACAAAACCTGAAGGATATTTTCTGACATCATGTGACACAAAAAGAGGAAGTAGGGTTTCTACACCACACATTGTGACAGAGTTTAACGTTTGCCCTGCTGTCGCTGTCAAACCTGTTCTCAGCTCAGTCTTATGACTGGCTGAACATCCTGTCTGTCAGATGTTCAATCTCTAACACAAGCGCTAACAAGTCAGGCTTTTGTCTCCATGGATTTAATTTGTTTATTTGGTATTTTCAGAAGCAGATGTAAAATCTGACCTCACAGAAACCTCTCTGGAGATTTCAGATTTGAGCAATAGAAATATAAAATAAATGTCAAAAGTACATTTATGGCCTTAGTAAGCCATGTGAGTTTTTACATAGTTATAAAGTAGAGAAATTAGGATCAATTTAGATTAGTGGAACTAAAATAATGTTAAGCTTTAAGAACTCTAAAGGTCAAACACATTTTTCTTTTCTTTTCTTGTGTGCGTTTGTTAATCTTCATCTTAAAAACTTAGGACATGTCTTTTCTACTTCTCCCCTCACTACATTTCAGTGGGAAATATTGAACACTTTACAAAACTGTAACACTTCAACTTAAGAATGTGATTTACTATGGAAAAGTCTGGAGCCTTATTCTCATGTAACTTGTAATGTTACATGTAATGTCTTTGCTGGCCTGGAAATGCCTTGGGATTCCCCTGTAGGAGCTGAAACAAATGACTGGGGAGAGGGAAGTCTGGTCCTCCTTACTTAGGTTGCTACTTCACAACCCGACTCCAGATATGAGATGAAATTAGATGAGATTAGAGGTTTTTGAGGTAATGAGTTTGCATAATTTTCTTAAGTAAGGTCAACTAATTAAATTCTACTGTGTACGTCATGGGCAAACATTAGCAATTCAGTAAAATTTTAAACCTCACCACAGTCCAACCTCCAGAAAGCAATCGTTTCTCAACAGCCGAAAGCCCAGATTCTCTGGACAAAGCAAAATGTAGCACAAGCTGGTTTTTAACAGGCTACATTACTACTGACAAGTTTTGAAAATGTAAGAGAATGATTTAAGTTCCTGGACTCTGAGCAAAGAAGAGGTACAGAAAAGATTGAGTGTTAGGGTTGATTTGAGATAGAAGACTTACAATGATGTGGTGAGAAGAAATTGGGTCTGACAAAAATCAAAGGAAGGAGATATTTTGGACATGCACAGAGGAGAGATGGTGGATTAACTAGAGGGATTAAGTGGAGACTGGAGCAGAAAAAGAGCAAAATCACAATCCATTAAGGAAACAAAAAGAGTTTGTTGAGTTATGGAGAAGTGTGAGATGGAGGCAGATGAACAGCAATGGAGCCCCCTAAAGGAAGCCACAGGAAGAACGATGATTGAGCAAACAAAATGAGAGGTTACATGCAACTGGGATTCATTTTACACTTTATACTCTCCCTTTCTCAGTGTAGGTTTGATTCTCACAATTATATCATTATATTAATTCTACTTATAGAAGATTATACTATATGTGCACATATATACTAAGTGTATATGTGCACATATATACTAAGTGTATATGTGCACATATATACTAAGTGTGTATGTGCACATATATACTAAGTGTATATGTGCACATATATATAGTAAGTGTAAATGTGCACACATATACTAAGTGTATATGTGCACATTTAGGATAAATACTCTAAAATTGGTCATTGAAAAGAGAGTATTTCTCCCTGTTTTTGATTACATTTAGATAGAAGACTATGTTCCATGGTAAAGCATGTTCAAATATTTTATGTATTGCTTTGAATGCCTTGGACAAGTATTCATGTCCTTTATTTTCATTTTAACTTGTTCTGCCCAGCACTGTGGCACATAAGTTTTGGAAATTGCTTTGTGTTTATTTCATATTCAATGGACATGGAGATGGTAAATAAAGGGAGAGAGGTGGGGCAAAAAGTTTAAAGGGAAAGAAGGACATGGAAGTAGAACAGAGAAGAAATTAAGAGAATACAAGATAACATCCTTTAAGTCTGCTTTAACACTTGCAGTGAATAACAAAAAAATAAGAGAACTGAGAAACCACAGAAACAAACAACATATTAATATAATAACAACAGAGTCACTGAAAAGTACA